GCATTGTGGGAGACCCCACCCACCCTTACACCCGCCTAACCCGCAAAGCAGTCAGCATTGTGGGAGACCCCACCCACCCTTCTTACAGCCGCCAAAGGGTTAAGATTAGGCATGTGAGGAAGGTAGAGCAGATACCTATATGAATGTGTCAGTTTGCAAGGGTGCTCACCTCGCCGCGTCCTTTACTGCTGAATGCATGCATGCTCGTTCCTCATTTTAGCGCCTGCATGTATATTTTTAGAGCAGCATTCATAGCCCAAGAGGCGTGAGGCGGCTGGGGGGCTAAGGGGATTGAAGACATTCGTTTCACATACAGCAATTAATAAATAATAGCAGTGGCCCAGTTCTGGAAGGACTCTGAGGAGCAGACCATTAAGAGGAAGTTTTTGTGCCTGTGGCTGTGAGTGAGCCTTTGTGGTGGGAGCTCTGGTGAGCAGCTGCTGATATAGCAAACCAAGGGAGGGGAGAGAAAGAAAGGGCATATATGCCAACAGGAGCAACCAGGTGATGGAGCAGCCGGGGAAAGCAGGGAAACATCTGCATCGCCTTTGAAAACGCATTACATAACACCGCATTATGTAACAACTCGACAAAATGCAACAAATTGTCACAAAATGTGGTGTTATTACATAATGCATTGTCACAGACCATGTAACACATTATCTAACAACACTGCATTATGTAATAGCTTGACAACCTGTAGCAAATTTCCATTAGATACAATTAGATACATTTTCAGGGGTGTGTTTCCCGAAAGCTTTGTGATGCTAAGTAGTTAATTATCTGTCACTTAAGATAATTCTTTGATTAATCAGCGTTTCTCAAAACCTTTTGTAACTAGTTTGTAACCTCATTCATAAATCTATGAGTGATCCAACCCACTTCTTATTTCCTACGTTGTTTATTTATTTGAACTTTTGCCTGCTATTCCATGATAGAGGCACAGAAGTCACCCAAAAAGGACAGTGGACAATATAATAATGATTATGATGATGATAAGTTATTCTTTCAATATAAAACTGCAGTGTAGGTTATAAATTTCTGACATATTTATGACATTTTGTAGAGTTATTACATAATGCGGTGTTATTAAACAATGGATTATTACATGGTGTGTGACAATGTATTATGTAACACCACCACATTATGTGATGGCAATTTGTTACATTTCGCTGAGTTATTACATAATGAATTGCTACATCGCAGTTCTGAAGACCATAATCTGCCTGCATGAAGTCTGCAGCTGCTAGTAAGAGAGGTACTGCTGACTGCTGCTACAAAAGCATATGAGAAGCCATACACAGACCATACACAGACCATACACAGACCATACACAGACCATACACAGTATTCTACAGCCAAGAGACAGGAGCTCCTCCAGCCGCTATCACCTTTACAACAATGAGGGCATCAGGGAGAATGAAATCCAATGCTACCAGCACAACCCACACCCTAACCCAAACCCTAACCCTACCAGCACAACCCACACCCTAACCCTAACCCTAACCCGACTGCACACCACATTGCACCACACCCCAAAAAACAGGCCTTCATCTGACTCCAATGGTACAGCCTCCATCCAAGCCAGCTCAGGTAAGACCCGGACTTAATCCAGTGGCATCAGGAAGACCGGGCCTCAACCCAACCAAGGGAGGGGAGAGAAAAAAAGGGCATATATGCCAACAGGAGCAACCAATCTGATATTTTTACCCCTTTATCAATTATTAAGCATTAATAAAAAGAAAAAAAACACGAATGCCAACTGCGTGAATGTAATATGGTTACTGTATTTCCACACAGCCAACATGACAGCTCCGACAAACATGCGTTGCTGAATAACTAGCCTTCTGTTTACAGTATATCGCACTAAGGCTAAAAGCATTTTCGCAATTTTTCAGGCTAGACCTACAGTATTGCTGATAAAAAAAAATGGGATTAGTATCTTTACTCTCCCACTCCCTCAATACCCAATCCAGCATTTTTTTGCAGGTATGAGCCCAATACCGATAGTGGGTGAACGACAGAGTCCCATCTCAAGCAGGAGGACTGGGGCTCAACAGCTGAAGTTGCTTTGGTACACATAGCTTGCACATAGGCTGCAGGTCTTGGCCTCCAGGTGTCAAGCTCAATGTGCTCAATGGGCTTCCCCTCTGCAGTCTCACCTTGGGCGTGTCCTCAGTCCCAGCCAGCTGAGCAGATGGCCTGTGGGAGGGATGTCGCAGGAGAGACTCCGTCCCCAGATCCAGCCTGGGACGCTTCATCTCGGAGTAATCAACATCTGATTGGCTGCTGGGCTCCGGCATGTAAATATGCTCATAGCGGATGTGGGCCTCCTGACCTCTGGAGGAGAGAAAAGTGACACAAAAACAATATGAATCAAAAACATTTAGGGTTCATCCAGCCACTTATTCTGGTCAAGGTTGAAAGGTAGTCTGAAGGCAGGGTGTTCATGTGTGTACACACACACACACACACACACACACACACACACACACACACACACATACATACATACATACATAGACATACACGGGCACAGACACACGGCTAAATACATAGGCACACACACACACACACACACACAGATACCGACACACACAGAAAGACACTCACTCTCACTGACACACACGCATGCACGCAGAAATGCTGGCAAACCATGGGTCATTGAATTAGCCCAATCTCGAGGACCTGCAGAAAAGCTGGGTGAGAAAGGGAGAATGGGCAGATTCTGCAGGTGGCAAACCTCTAACCCCACTCAGTACAGGATGGAGTATTAGATACTTCTGCTAAATTTCAAAGCCCTTCATAACCATGCTCCTAATTACCTCGATGACCTTTTACACTCTTATACTCCCTTCGTTCCTCCTCAGCTGAATGACTTACCATTCTGATAGGCTCAGTACCATGGGTGACAGGCCCTTGGGTGACAGAGTCTTCTGCTGCTCAGTACCTAGACTTTGTAACTCTCTCCCCTTGAATTTAGGGCAACTGGTTTCCATTACTCTATTTAAATCATGTAAATCATCTTAACATCTTAAATTACTGTTCCTTTCGTGAACTGTGATTCTATTATTTCTTTTATTGTTATTGTAGTGTAATGTACCTAGTGTATGGAGTTTCATGTTTATTGTTGTTTTACAAATTCTTAAGTCGTTTAATTCATGTAAGGTGACCTTGAGTGTCCTGAAAGGCACTCTGCTTAGCCTCATTTGAAGAATAAAGTCAGGAATAAAAGCAGCAGCCTGAACAGTCTTCAAGTCTAATTCCCGTCCTTTTTAACTTGTTTAATCAGTCTCACAGAAGCCAGGCATCTTTCTACCTGTGCACTTCTGAATGCCGAATGCATTTCTCAAAGAGCCTTTGCAGCTAAAACAACAGCCCGAAAGAGGGATAAACGCCCAGGGAACAGGCTGCAGACCCTGAAAGAGGGATAAACGCCCAGAGAGCAGGCCAAATGCACCAAGAACGATATAAATGTTCAGAGAGTGGGATAAACGCCCATGGAACAGGCCATACACCCCAAGAGTGGGATAAACACCCAGAGAGCAGGCCACACTCCCGAGAGAGGGATAAATGCCCAGAAAGCAGGTCAAATGCTCAGACAGTGGGATAAATGTCCATAGAACAGGCCACACACCCTGAGAGTGGGATAAACACCCAGAGGGCAGGCCGCACACCCTGAGAGTGGGATAAACACCCAGAGGGCAGGCCGCACACCCTGAGAGTGGGATAAACCATCAGAGAGCAGGCCGCACACCCTGAGAGTGGGATAAAAACCCAGAGAGCAGGCCGCACACCCCGAGAGTGGGATAAACACCCAGAGAGCAGGCCACATGCCCCAAGAGTGGGATTAACTGCCCAGAAAGAAGGTCAAATGCTCAGAGAGTGGGATGAATGCCCTGAGTGCAGGCCACAGGCCCCGAGAATAGAAAAAAAAAACCCAGAGAGCAGGCCCCATGCCCCAAGAGTGGGATTAAATGCCCAGAAAGCAGGTCAAATGCTCAGAGAGTGGGATGAACACCCTGAGAGCAGGCCGCAGGCCCCGACAGTAGAAAAAAAAACCGAGAGCAGGTCAAATGCTCAGTCTCAGAAAAATGCCCAGAGAATGGGACAGACAAAAGTGAGAAAAATGCCCCAAGCGTGCTATAAATGCACAGAGTGTGGGATAAACACCCCACAAACAGGAACCACACAGCAAGAGCAGGCTACACGCTTGACATCTTACTCCAGCTTTCGCTTTCCATAGCACCACTAACTCAGGTGAGACAGAGAGCTGCTTATAGAGAAAGGAGGCTGCTCCGATTGGCACATAAAGCCATAAAGCCAGAGTTGTCAGCCTTGCCAAAGTAACAGGAGGAACAGCTCTGATGATCCACTGCCAGTATATATCGACCTGGCAGCGTGACTTTGTGCTTTATTTCAAAAGGCCTTTGTGCTGGGAGGGGGCACTTGCTCTGTGCACGTTTCTACTATGAAAGGGAGACTTAAACGACATTCTCAAGTTCCCTGTAAATATGGACAGTTTGGATAAAACAGCAACCATGGGTTACATGTATGAAGAAGGGAGTGAGAGACACATTTGTCATTTTCTCCCTCTTTAATGCCATTAATTGTTTGTCCTTTCCACCCCCCGCTAAAGACCCACAGCAGAAGACACTTCAAAAAGAGACTGACTGGAGGGCAGTGGCAAGGGCTGCAGAGGGCTGAGGCTTCCTGGCAGCACTCCAATAGAGATCCCACAGCAAACCTAAGCACTGCTTTAAATCAGAAAGCAGGTACAATGAGAAAGGCAGACCAAGCCCTCTGCACAAACACAGAGCCAAATTAAGCAATGAAGGACACCTCTAAAGGGAGAACATGTTCACTCGGGGCATTAACGATTCTCCAAACCCATGGTTCGGGGTGGTGGGGGGGCTTAGGAAAAATACTGGGTTGTATTAATCAACAGCAAATCGGGAACACTACAATGACCAACACTAAAGAAAATGCTGGATTAGCTTAACTTCACAAAACAAAATACAGCCGCATTTTAGCGGCCCTGAAAAGGATTATATCAGGCACCCAACGAGCCCCAAACCAATTACACACAGGAAACACAAGGTTGTCAGACGCTGACCTCTGATACACACACGGTGGGAGATTTACGGAAGCCACTTACACACGGGGGTCGAACTGGGTACACACAAGACACAGGTAAACACACGCACAACGATAAGGGAATGTAACCATTAACATTAACGACACAACAATGGCCATTTCCTTCTTAATCTCCACCGTAATCTCAAAAAATTGATCAATTTTTTTATTATTATACTACATTTGCATGTTTTGCAAATTTGCTAAAGATCTAAGGAGCGGAGTTTGGTGATCTTATTAGCAATTGTTTGAAGCCAAGGAATGTGTATTAAAAACCTTACTTGCTACGATCCGCAGTTCAAAATAAGACCAATATTGACCAAAACGTAAAGCATGCCACTACAGCGCCACCGTTTGGCTGAGCAGTGTCTCTTTGCAGCCCTAAGCAGTGGAGGGAATGTTTCACCACGACACCAAAATTTCAAGATTCTCGGTCATAGACAAGGGAAATTATAGTCTGCTGAAATCTGATTGCCTGTTGTCAGCCATGTTTGATGAATAGATGAACTTTTATAAAATGATTAGTTGGGATATCTGGCTGTCTAAATAATTAAGAAAAAACTCTCAAGTGTATACTCTCTTATTGACTTATTGGAAGCATATTGAATGACTGACGCATTTTGGCGCTAAGCAGTCTTCAGAATCTTAGTCCTGAAACAGCCTAAAAGAATAAATCCGTATTTTAGGATATTATGTTCAAGCGTTACAGGAGATAATGGGTCGTTGTGAATAGAAATATATTTATTATATCTCATCTACCTCCTATTCACCATCTGCTAATTCAACCACCAGGCCAAGAAGATATTCACGACCATAGAATCAGGTAGGTCATCACTGTGGTTTTAGGCCTAAATGAAGGCGTGTGTTTGACTCATCAAGATGTGTATTTTGTGGTGTGTATGGTATGTATAGAACAAAACACAAAAAATGCAGTAATTTAACATGTCAAAGTAACATAAAATTTCTAAGTAATTAACTGGAGGTTGTGCATAGCCCTCTGTTACTGTGTGAACTTGCAGTGCTTGGGGAGGGCACACACAGTGAGTGTGTTTCACCAAAAAAAAATTAGGCTAATAAGAGGTTGATTTAAATGGAAATACATGTGTGCTGCCTTTCTCATTATTCTGAGAAATCCATAAAGTAACCAAAGAAAGCACAAAACAGAAGCAGAATTTTTTTTTTTCCCTTTACTAAATGGTGTGGGCAATTTTGTTTAGATTGCCCACGAAATTCCACAAAATTGAATTCACAAAATCCCTAAAATGTGTATATGATATTCTGACAGTTTGAGTATTATTGACTTAGTAGATTAGATATGGCAGGTGGCTGTGTTCACAAGGCAGTGGCTGCTGCATCTGTTTTCACCTTCTGCTGCCCTCTACCACTGCTCTTCCAATTCACATTATATGGACTATATGGATAGTGTATAAAACACACTAGATGGACAAAAGTATTGGGGCACCTGGCCATTTCACCTACAGGAGCTCCCATTGTAAATCCATAGGTATCAATATGGAGTTGGTCCCCCCTTTGCAGCTATAACAGCTGCCACTTTTCTGAGAAGGCTGCCCCTCATGGCCAACTTGCTCTCACCTACACAAAGCTGGGGCGTAAATCAACCAATGGCGTAAGAGAGGGTTTGAAAAAAGGGGGATGAGGGGACGCCCAACTTACTTTAAATACAATGGTGTATTTAATGGGGGAGGGGGTTGAATGAAGCTAACAAATATCGGAGGAAAAAAAAAACAACTAATGTGGGTCAGCAGGATTTACTAAATACTATGCAGCGGCATGTGCATCCAAGCATAGGTCCACTCCTTCGGGAAAAGAATACATGTATATCGGTAATAACAATAATATAGCATTACATTACGATTATTTATTTAGCCGATTCTTTTATGAAAAGCAAAACTGCAAGAGCAGGGTCAGCCAGTCCCGGGGGAAATGGCATCCACCTAACGAGAGTTTGTTTGCATGTTCGTTTGCATATACGGCCCAGATGCCCTCAGAAGGTTGCAAACCAATGTGATTCTTCAGTCTGAGCAGGGACTACTAACACGTTAGCATTCTAAACAGACCACCGATGTCTGCACAGTGACTACTAACACGTTGGCATTCTAAACAGAGCGCCCACGTCTCTACAGTGACTACTGACACGTTGGCATTCTAAACAGAGTGCCCACGTCTCTACAGTGACTACTGAC